CGCACAAAAAAGTTCCGTTACGATGCACTATTATTTTTTTTTTTTTTGTTATTCTATATGAAATCGGCACAAGTAGACATCAGGAGATATCTATCTTTAAGGACAAAGGTAGGTCCATGTCGCCAGTTAACTGCCAGATGACTTCCTTTGTCGTATGAGAAGTGTGTAAATTAATTGCTGGATTTTGCTTACGGCTCCAGGCGATTTAAATGAAAACCCAGATCCCGATATCCTCTACAACTACATTCTCTTAAACGAAGGAGTACCACACATAAATCCCCAAAACGTGTTGGTTAGAAAAGACTTTTATATTACGGATCTTTTTTGTCCTTTTTTTTTTTCGTTAGAGAACCTTTAACAAAAAACGAAACTTAGTCCTACGTCTTAGGTTAAGAGGAGACATAAGATTGTAAGTAGGATTACGCTTAACTAATGTTAAGTCTAAACCTGGTAGTGGGTTTGGCATTTGCATAATACATAAGACTTTAAGTCGAATGGAATGAAACGTTTTCGTGGAATGTATTGTAACGTAAGCCGCTTTTTTTCAACCCCTTTTCAGATTCTCGGTTCGCAGCATGGAATTGCGATTTTCTGCACAAACTTATATCTACAATGCTTTAATTCTTGTTCCTCGTGTCTTCTCGACTGACTTTGCCTTCCGCAAGTATTCTGCTTATATATCCTTTCGTAAGCAAGTTATCAGTTTGCCTCCCTATGTGCGATGCCCTTGTTTTAATTCCTTCCTCCGCAAATTGTTGTTAGTCTTTTCGACAACCGCCAGCTGCATCAAACAGATAAAGGGTCATTAATGTGTAATGTGTAATGTGTAATGCGGCCGCTTAGAAAATCGACTAGTTTTCATCCAAACTCAGATCAAATCAAATATGGCATTTTCGTAACAATATGTACAGGATTCGTTCAAAGAATTGCTTAACATAGTTTTAGCAGCTAAAAGCTCAAATATAAACTAAAACCTCTTAGATGGTGCTATGAATTATACATTGCATAAATAGGCGCACAGTTTGAGCCTGTTTATGTGTAGCAGCGATAATTTCTTTGCAGAGAAAGAACTGAATAGAAGGAAACAACTGAACAACTGTTTAATAACAATTGAAAGTAATTTTCCCTAATGGTCTTTAACGTTCACAAGCGGTTGACAATTAAACCAAATATGAAACGTTGTAATGGTTTTTAAATAAAAATTGACTATATTTGCTTAGCTATAGGTTGTAGGTGTTCGTTTCTTCCAATTTTAGCCCACTTTCAAGCAACTAATAGTCATCAAACGTTATGGCAACAATATGTTGTTATCTTTTCTTTTTAAGCTCGCTTTTAACTAAATACTTTTAAAACTAAGCATTTCTTTGCCTGTCCGTTAAATAATTTTGCATTGTTATTATTTTTTTTTTGTTTAGTTGTTGTTGTTATATATGTCGTTGCAATTATCTGCCTATTAAAGAGATTGTATATATATATATATAAAAAAAATAAAAAATAAAAATAATAATAAAAAAAAAAAATAAATGGAAAAAAGGAATAATATAATGAAATGAAAACCGCTCAGCTGACAAAATCAATCGTTTTCATGGACATTTCTGAATTCTCTTGCTTTTGTTGTTAGGGAATTTCCACACTAACGAGCTTTAACTGATTATTATTATTGCTGCCACCGTCGCATGTACGAACGTATCAAGGCTGCTCCACTTGCAGTAAAATAATCTTTTTCTTCCTATTTTTTTTTTTTTTTTTTTTTTTTTTTTTTTTTTCTTTTCCACTCAATTTTTAATAATAACAAAACCTCTATTTATTGAACTAGTGCTGAATAATTTTTTTGTAGTTGTTTCATTTCACGTTGAAAAGGCTGACAGCCCTAACGACGGATACACACACAAAGATAGACAGATATATAAGTAGTAGTAGTAGTAGTAGTAGTAGTAGTAGTAGTAGAAATCAGGAGAGTAAAGTAGCGTAAGTCAACTAGATAGGCAGGCAGGTAAGCAGGCAAACAGGCAATCAGGCAATCAGGCAGGCAGGCAGGCAGGCAGGCAGGCAGGCAGGCAGGCAGGCAGGCAGGCAAGAAAAGCAAGCAAGAAGTCAGGCATGCATGCAAGCTTTCGATAGACAAGCATATGATTGTGTAGGCGGCGTATTAGCTTCAATCAACAAATAAATAAGAAATGAAGCAAATAATATCAACAACAACAATAATAAAAATAACGACAACAACAAGAACGTATATGCATGTTACCAAAATTTTGTTATTGTTATTATTGTTGTTGTTGTTTTACTATTGTTCATAGTGTTCGCTTTTAAGCTTTAATCAATGCATTAAAACTCTAATGTCTGTCTACTACTAGACTCTGAGAGCAATTATTATTTAGATATTTATGAATGCGTTCATATGTCTTCGTAACGATATTAATAATGTCAGTTAAAACTATTTTCGATTTTGATTTTTTTTTTTTTTTTTTACTTCTCTCATTTTCTTTTCTATCCCTTAACCATTCATTCAGCTTTACATTTTATGCAACACTATCATCAGTCAATGTTTATGATAGACTTTTAGTTGCTGCCGTTGATATAGTGTTTGGTCTTTTTTTTTTTTTCTTTATTTTTTATTTATTTATTATGATTTTTTTTTATTTTTTAAAGTTTCTTTTAATGTGACTCTGGCTGCTGACAAGCTTGATTACTTGATGGCATTGTGGGTTGTTTTTTGGGTTCAGAAGTTTCGTTTATGTGGCTTTTTACGTCGAGATATTATTGATGATCGGTTGGTTGGCTGTTTGGTTGATTCGTTCGTTGCTTGGTTGGTTGGTTGGTTGGTTGTTATTGCATTAAATTGACTGACTCGCTGACTTACTGACTATTGTAGTTTTTGTTGTGAACTGCAAAATCCTACGATTTTCGTTTTGACATTTCTTTGGCAGTTTGTGATGATTGCTTTGATTTGTTTTGATTTGCATCGTCAATGATTACAACTAAAAGGGAAACGAACCATGCACTAAATATAGCGAATTTTACAGTTTATCATAAAAGAGGCAAAATTGCAAAATGGATTGATGCGGCGTTTAAACGATTTTAAACAAGGACTTGTCTTCGACGAATATATTTTACTATATTTCGTTTCGTTAATTGAAAGAGAAAAGAGTAGTAAGAAGAAGACCATCATTCATTGCCATCTACTCTTTGGTTATGACCAAAAGAATGTCTTCCTTGATCTGTGAAAATATTACCGATAATACTTGTTTTGTATCCTATTGCTAAGTTTACCCAACAACGGGCGGGACAATATTTAAGCTTAATACTATGCCGAGTCGAAAAGCGTTGACGAAAGAAAAAACATAATCTGCCTAAATTAATATTTTTTATGCCGATACTTTCTTTCTTGTTAGTATTTAGTGAAAATATTTCAAAAAAAAAAAAAAAAAAAACTGTAATTTTTATTTTTAATACATAATAGCAATGCTAGGTAAGCGCAAATACACTCCCGCTTAATTGTGGGAGAACATCCGATACTGTTCCGATTTAAAAATAAAAATTTTAATTCGAATTTTTTCCCATTCATTTCCAATTTGTTTCCTACTTATTCTAGCTCACATTGGATTGGATTTTACCGTGAATTCCGGATGTGTTAGTGCACCGATTCCAACCATTTCTGCACTGAACAGTTCAGTATTAGTTTTTCAAATATGTGCGCGCGAGAAAAAATTTCTTTTAAAAATTGTCAGTATATGTACATATATATTGGTTGGTGCGCAATAGTAGTTTCCTATCTGAAATTTCACTAAATTTCAAATCTGTGAAATTGAGAGGTCTCGGTAAGTGTAGTGTTAAGGGAGTAATCCACTGTAAATTTTTTCTAAAAAGATCGTTTATTTTTGTTTCGCTGGCTTAAATGATCTCTTAAGCAGCCGGGAAGAGAATTGAAAGTCGATTGTGGGATTGGTAAAATTCTAAATGGGCGAAAATATTTATTTTTCGAATGTAATCTCATGGGCTACCAAGCGCACCAATCGTGGAAAAGTCGATATTTTTAAAATCTCCAAGTACCTCACTAGGTATAGAAATATATATTGGATGTTTTCTCTTTCTTGGACCACAGCACACAGCCAGCCTTGCTATGGTGTTACCATTTTTTTAATATTATTCAGAAATAATACCATTTTTAATTTATAAATACACAGCTAATAACGTGCTCGAATATTATTCTGTTACCTTTGCTTTCATCGAAACTCAGAAAAAACTCTTGTCGTTTCGTTTATTACAGTAGTTTACTCCCTAAAGACAGAATATTTGAAAATCAACATCTTCTACAAAGGAAAAGTATATCCAAACAATAAAAAAGAAAAAACAACGATGATAAGAGAATCTATTCGTCGATTGAGTTGATTTCTGAATTTAAACTGACTTAGGCTATGGCTGATCGACACCGAGAAGAGTAAGCATTTACTTTATCTTAAATAAAACTAAATGGAATCTAAAGGTTTTTTGAGGCGTTTCGAAATGCTTTCGAAAGTCGGGTGTACATCGGCCAAAATGTTAAGGAAATCATTAAATTAAAAAACGTCAAGGCAAATTGATTCTTCTTCTCTCAAAACGCTTCTCGATTTACAGTTACAATGCTGCAATTTCCAACCAATGATGTACTCCGTCTGGGTTAGCTTAAGCCTATACGAAAATATGTTAATATTCGTCTCATTATTTTAATACTTTGCTCATGCAATTTTCAGAAATTCTTCTTCGCTGTACTTCCATTACCAAGGAATGTTAACTACAGTAAATTGCTTTTGTCTTCAATTGTTTACAATATAATCAATGGAAGACAAAAAAAAAATAAAACCTGAAATTTCCGTCGAAAATGAATTTCAACGAAACCAATTTTGCAAATAGTTTTAACAAATATTTATGCAAATTTAAAAATAAGTGCACACAAGAGAAATAATTTTCATTAGTTTGTGTTGTTGTTTATCTTTGTTTTATTTCTTTTATTTTTTTAGGTGAGAAACCGTACACCTGTCAATGGCCGGAGTGCGAATGGCGTTTTGCACGTTCCGATGAGTTGACGCGCCATTATCGTAAACATACCGGAGCCAAACCGTTTAAGTGCATTGTATGTGAACGCAGTTTCGCCCGGAGTGATCACTTGGCTTTGCATATGAAGAGGCACTTACCTAAAATTAAATGAAAAATAGAAAAAAAGAAAAAACAAAAACAAAAATAGATGAATAAAAGTATAAAAATATATGAGTAAACAAGTTGTACTAAGCACTTCGGAGCGGGCTCTTATATAATATTAAGCTAATATCTAAAATATCTACAAACATATATTATTATTAAAGGCGTGGCAGGATTAAGGAAATTTTTACATCATCTCGGGAAGCATTTGTGCGAAATTTTAAATTACTCTCTGGAAGTTATTAATATGTTGAGAAACGTTACAATTAAGATCATGTCTGTTGGTATATCGTGGTCTTTACTTTCTCAAAATTTATTCTATGAAATGCAACAAACTGCAACATTGTAATGAAATGTTTACGAGTTTCGTGTATGGGAAGACAGACGCAACGAATGAATGGATTGCTGATCAAAAACTTTAAAGTCCGAAGTAGTTGCAATTTTTATGGATAATCGGGTGCGGTTGAAGTGGCATTACAAAATTACTCTGTTCCAATAAAAGGCATAAAAGTAAAACTAGCGACATCTACACTTTTCCTTATGATGATGATGATGATGATGATGATGATGATGATGATGAGTTCCTATAAAATGTAAGGTCCTGGCATGATTTAGCTGCGTCCTTTCGCCTACACAACACGTCACTCAATGGCATCACCGTTGAAAGACGCCTACGATTTCCTACGATCGTGTTAATCTTCAAACGACATGTGTCACGATTTCATGGCATTCCGAATATCAGTTTACAACTTACAGAAACTTGATAGAAAAAACCCCAAGTTGCCATATATATACACATACAGATATGTATATATTAAATTAATATATATTATTCGCCTACGACAGATAAAAATTATTACTATCGTTAACATTATTCTTACATGCATTGCCGACGAAGAGTGATACATTCATTTTGTCATAATATTTGCAACACTTGAAAGAAAGTTTTAGAGACCCTCTATGTGTGCATATATATTTTCTGGGTCAATATCGAATTTTGAATATCGACTGCAAATTACGCAAAACCATTGAAAGCTTTTGCTTGCAAGTTGGTATTGAAAAAGGCGGCAAACCGATCAAAGCACATGCACACAATAAGGCGTAAACGGAGAGCACTTCTTTTCTTCTAAGCGAGAATTTATGGGTTTTTTCTCAAAGGGCTCAAATTTTAAAAATTGTTCGAAAATGAAAAAAATCGGCCTCGCTCAAGCAATATTATAAGTGATAAAATTTTAATTTTTTCTTCTCTTTTCATTTTATTTTAAATAAAATCTCTTAGTAACTCATCTGAAACTTTCACAATTCCTTAATACTGATCTGAGTAGTTTGTAACTTGCAATACTTAGCGGGCAAGAGCTTCAATGTGTAGTGAGCAGAAGGTATTGGTTGAGAGAGAGGAAGATGAAGAGATAGCAGATAATTTTCAAAAAATTTGTATACAATTTACCTAAATTGCGAACGTTTTTCACAAAATTTCATCTATGTCGATACACTATGAACCTGTATTAGAGGTACCGCTCCAAAGTGCACTGAATTGTTTTACTCATCTTACCAATCCAAAGGACTTTAGTTTTACATAGTGCTTAAAGAGTAAACTAAGACCTAAGTTTTATATATTGTTGGTGTTAATTAAATAATTATAATTAAATAAATTCTAAGATAAGTAAAACAGTAAAAACAATTTCACAGATCATTATTGTTTATTAATTTATAAAATATATTAAATTTTGTTATTTTTTATTACAGAATTTTTCTTCGTCTTCTTCTTCTTCTTCTTCATCTTCTTAAAGAAAACAGAGTGCTTTGTTTTGCTTTGCATACACTTAGTCGTTTTAAATATTTTTACTGATGCCTAGGAATAGGCGTTTAGCTGCTGACGCTACCATCTGCTCTGGTTTGTTTGTTTGTTCGTTGAAACAATTCTTGTAGTAAAATTCTGTGAATATTTACTTCAATACAGCTGAGCTAGTTAGATTTCTATTTCGTTAGCTATGACATTCTAATGACCGATTCAATTTTTCGTAAAAGCCTTTGCCGACAAGCTACGATTGGATGAAACTTGAATATTTTATAAAAATTTAACGAGGTCTTGAAGTTTCTAAATATCGAATTTCTTGAATTTTGACACAGAAGCTAACCGAAGTTAATAGGCAGATACGCGAATGAAATGGGGTTTCAAGAAGAAAATGCATGAACTAAGAAGTTAAAGGAGCAGGAAAGCTAATATAATTCAAACGTGTCAAAACCAGTATCAAAGATATTCATGTAGTAATAGGTGTGCAAATAAATTCCTGCTGTTTACTTATTTTTTTTTTTTTTTTTTTGTTATAAAATTCAACTTTATTTCGAATGCCTTGACCATCGGGCTAGCGTGATCATCGAAATAAGCATAACCGTTATCTATGGTCTTTTGCCATTTGTCAGATAGCTTACGGATGGCATTGCGCTTGGCAGCGAAATATCCGTCGACTCAATTTAATATGATTCGTTGATTTGCTAAATATGACAGTAATCGGAAGGGGCCAGGTCTGGAGAATAGTGCGAGGTACGTTAAAATTTCGACAGCCTATAGTGAAAAACGCCTCTTGCGTAGCAGACGGACGTATGCGAATTTTCATCGTTTTCAAGCGTTGTTGCGTTTTCGATCCTCTCCAAAAAATATATATTTTAGATCACCCCTTGGACAATTAAAGGGGTCCAAGAAATCTTGTGATAAATCTGTAAATCTATATATAAAGAAGGCAAAAAAAAAAAGATCTCTCGGTTTACACAATGCTCTCTTGAACAAGAAAAACTTTCTGATTTGCCAACTTTTATACCCACAACTGAAGGGTGCGGGAGAATACTCACAGTGTCGTAGTGTTTGCAACACACAAATGTAAACTTCAGAGACCGCATAAAGCGTAAACTTCTGAATCGATTGAGCACTGATCTGTTCGTTTGTGTGTTTGGGTGTAGTAGGAATATTAATGCCATTAAAATAATTATTCAAATAATTGCATTCTCTACCTACCCGCTGTTTTAAAACAAGCCTAGAGTACTAGACACGCACCATATTTGAGCGAATTCTTTTCAAATTTAATTAGTGTAAGGAACGCAAAAGCCATGTGAAGATAATTGTGTTTGTATTCAATAGTCATAATTCGCGGAATTCCGACAGGTTAAGGTCACAATATTTTTGTTATTCGCGTAGGTTGTCAAACCTATGCAATGGAAGGTAGCAAAGCAACTTGGGGAAGAATTTTTTGCTTTCAAAATAGTTCTCTTCCTCATGGAACACCACTTGGATTGCTACTAACGTATTAAGTTTACGTTTCGAAATATTTTTTGGATTTAAAATATATAGGCGAATTTATTAGCGGATTTATGCATGTATGCAAAAGTGTACACACACACAGTTTAGTAACAATATCTTTAAAGTCATTAACACTACCCACTCGATCACCAACTGGCATTAATGTTAAATACACATATATATGGTGAATAATTAATTCAACAAATTTTACAATAACAAATATCTCTTCTATCCATATGTGTATATGGGTTTGTGTGTATGAGTGTAGATTGGAGAAAAAACAAAAAATAAAAAAAAAATTATTTATGTAAATGTGAAATAATTAATTTACGGCGACAATTAACATGACGTTCATTGATCTCTCAGCTAATCACGGACATCAGGCAAATGACAATTTATCTTTTCTTTCATTTGCAATTTTATGCTGCTGTGCAAACTATTAATATATGAAATGTATGCATAAGTTTACAATGGCTGCGATCGTTGCCTTTATGTTGATTTTATGTCATGTTATAAATTGTATTGAATTTTTATTAATTTACAAAAAAAACCAAGCAATAATTTTTACTGCAACCCTATTTATGTGTACAACGAATAAACGCATATGAAAATTAGTCATTGATTTGGATGATAAATTAAAAAAAATTAACATTTAAATAAATGTAAATGTTAAAAAATAAATTAAAAATAAAATAAATAAGAAAACTATAATCGCCGATCGTTGAGAATTGCATTCTTTTTTTAGAGGCGAAAATTATATACAGGATTTGTTCAATGCTTACAGAGTGTACTACAATTCTTATAAAACTGGATGTGTTATTAATTAATCATAACGACAGAATTATCATTTTAGTCATCATAGCCATATGACTCAACGCTGGAAATTTTATTTTCATAAGAATCATAAAAATTTGTGAAAAACGTTATATAACACGTACGGCTAGTTGTCCTACCCTACCATGTTCTCTAGGTAAAGACGACAGCGATTGTTAACCGTTCGCGAATTACCGAAGGATGCTTGAGAGAAAAATATTTAGGTCAAATGATGAGATCATCTATTTTAAAGATCTTGACGAACTTCACTGTAAACGATTTATCGAAAGATATTAGGAAAGCGTTGGATTTTTTGCATCAATTTTTATACTGGTAATTATTGATCAACATATCATTGCTATGGAATGGAATTTTTTTTATTCCTAGAATTTATTTCTAAATAAATTATTATAATAACAATAATAAACAACTAAAAATAATATGATGGGTTATGGCCCACCATTAAATACCTTACACCGCCCTGCAGTTTTTTACATAAGCGCTTGTTAAAAAGAGGCGTTGCATAGGAACTGGCCGAAAAAGTGATCTGAACCGGAGCATTTTCAACAGTATTCGTCCTTGGGCCAAAACGCTTTAGTGTACAAAGTTTAATCAAATTATCTCAAAATTTGCGGCGTGCAAGCTGAGCACAAGAAAACAAGACGGAGAGGCGGACAAACAAGCTTAGATGGATTCAGAAAGTGACTCTGAATTAATCCATACAACAAGAGGTGCATCTATCGAAGCAGTTTTGAGTGTTGCATTTGGGAACGGCCCATTGCGGAAGATTCGTGGTGGCTATAGTTGCCCCAAATCGCGGGTAGAGCCTCGACTCGGTGTGGAGTTGCATAGCAACTGGGTGCCTGACCCACAATGATTGACAAAGAAAGACATGGGTTTTAGATAGTGTCTCGCCCTCACCAGGGGGGGAGATACGCCCATATACGTATCTCTGCTGGAACTCGGGGCTTTGCTCGAAGCGTCTACACTCCGTGTGCGATCGGGCACCGTGGACTTAAGCCTTCAAGACAGATATTCACGTTAAGCATCTAGGGACATCTGTTGCACAAACTTAATATAACTTTGCAGCACAAGTGGCGTAAATTATAATGATAATAACAATAATGAAAGAGTTTTTCCGGTTAACTATAATTTGCACTTGGAGATAGTTGGAGATAGTTGGAGATAGTTGAGGAGTTAATGTTTTCTTAACCATCTACACACTTTACTATACTCTTTAATTAATAGTTCTCATTACGTGTCTTTTTCCCTTTTGTTAATTGTCCTTTTTTCTCTTTCAATGTCATATCACTTCTTAGTTTAGCTTTAATAAAGTTAAGCGAGAGTTGAATTGAAATTTATCGACTCCGTATAATTTATTCATTTGGTCCGTTTTGTCCTTACAATGTCTACTCCCAAGTAAGTTTAATGAATTATTTCTATTTTCTATGATACGATGGCGATAAGGACGAAGCTTCTCGCTAACTAACAATTTTAAAATTCTAGGTTGATTTTATTTCGTCTTCTTGCCCTTCTGCTATTGCTGGAATATTCAGGATCCTAAAAACTGAAATGAGACTTGACACGTAGGTGAGTACGAGTATAATGCTGAGGGTGCCCTGAAATCAAAAGAAGTTATTTTGAAACTTGGCATAAATAGCTTTAATCGCTCCGAACATTTCGTTAACGTGGTCACTATCAAGTGGCCGATAAGTCCAAATTTAACAAAGTATTCCATAAATGAATCAGTTTCAGGCGATCGGATTTAAATATAAATTCGTTCCTTTTTTTTACTTAAAAAAAAAAAAAAAATTCTTACTCGCGAATTGATTGAGGAAACACGGTTTACTTTTTTAAGCTAACTCGTTTTTAAATTATGACCTAATGCTTGCTGAGTAAATTACATTTTTCTTCGCTGTAACTTAAATCTTTCAGTCTCTAACGTTATTGTTGGCTTTGGCAAAGCAACCAATCAATCGGCCACTCTTACGGATTATATATCAATCGACTTAGGCTGTCCAATGTATTTAAGTATCCTTCCACAAACGACACAATTTTGTGAAATGAATTTTTTCTTTTTCTCTTTGCTGCCATAAAAACTCAGACGTATCGATTTTATACAATAGACACGATGTCATGGAGTCAAGAATCAAGTCACTCTTAAATAAAAACGGCAATAGCAGCGTTAGACTCATAATAACAAATTAATGCGTTGTTCGTTGACATTTTAAGGACAAGTACGCTTAACGTTAATATTAATGCAGGAATGAAAGAGATTGTCAACCGATGGTTTCATTCGCATATATATATATGTATATATATAT